GCAGGATAAACTCCTTCAGGAAATGAAGTTGCAGAGTTCCCACAGGTTAGGGAGGAGAGGGTATTTTGGTTTTTGCATAATTTTCCTTTGACCTGGCCCCCAGCAGTACCTGTAAGTAATACAGATTTTCTTCCCCAGCTTTGAACTTGAAAGCAAAATATTTGTACTGCTCCCACACTAATGATGAGTTGTTATTAGTTGAGAAACTTTGGTTATTAAAACATTGTTGTTTTAAAGCTAACTGTAAAATTTCTCACTCCGTAGTGGTTTAGCTATTGTGCACACCTACATTAATGTCTGTGCAAGCACCAACTAATGATTTAAATGTCTGTGTTTTTTGTAGGGGGCAGAAGCCATGGTTCTGGAAAGTGTTATGTTTGCCATTCTTGCAGAGAGAGCTCTTGGCCCAAAGCTGTATGGAATCTTTCCACAAGGGCGACTGGAGGAGTTCATTCCCGTAAGTCCTGTTTATGGTTAGTTAGTGGGCTGCTGGTAGCTACTTTAATTGATCATGACAAGGAGGTCTCTGGACTGCCCAGGAAAGCAAGGATGTGGGAATGACACTTGGCAGCCCATAGTAATTGCTAGCTGTAACATGATACAGCTGTAGTGGGTGTTGGAGAGCCCAATTATAGCTCTTGCCAGGGAGAGATATCTAAAAACTCTTCAGCTGTAGCAGACACTAATAAATGAAGATAAAAAGCCTGTTAAATACCAAACATAGCACTGGAAGCTGTGGAGTAACACTTTCCTTTAAAGGCAACAAGAGCAGATGCTTTTGATGGTCTTAAATATTTAAGACCAATCTGCTTTGAAGATATTCTTAGTGCGAGATGTGATATTCCCCAGGTCTTGGTCTAGAAGAGAACTGATACCAAGCTGTAAGGAAGCTAGGCTGGCTAGCACGGCTTTTCTGAAGAGGGCAATTTTGTAAGTTTACTTGGGATGAAAAAAGTGTATTGCTTGAGAACTGTGCTAGTGTTTAATACTGTACTATATAGAGACTAATGCTAATGTTTGTAATTAATCACACTTTTGTAATTAATCAATTAACTTAAGACTACTGTATTTTATTACAGAGCAGGAAACTAAGTACTGAAGAACTAAGCTTACCTGACATATCTGCTGAAATAGCTGAGAAGATGGCCCGATTTCATGGAATGAAAATGCCATTTAATAAAGAACCGAAGTGGCTTTTTGGAACAATGGAAAAGTAAGTTATGCAATACTTCAAAGCATGGAAAAAAGGTGACCTGTGGCACTGTTGATAAGCAGATCATTCTTCTGAATGACTGAGAGCACAAGCTCTCTACCCAGAAACTGTTTGATAGTTACCTGAGGAACTTAAATTAACTTGAAAGAATAGTAACCTTTTCTTTAGTAACTCTTTTTTTTTAAACTTTTTGGATTTTAGCATAAATGGTGTCTTAGCATGGGAAGGCTAGCATACTTATTGTCACAAGTGCTGTACTGTTGTCTCTGTTTTTAACAGGTATCTAAATCAAGTGCTGAGGATTAAATTTACCAGAGAATCTAAAACTCAAAAACTGAACAAACTCCTCAGTTACAATCTTCCGCAGGAAATGAAAAATCTAAGGTAGGCTGATTTTTTGCCTACTGTTGTCTTCCCGTTAGCACAGTTTCAGTAGGAACTTGTGCAGTTGCTCAAACACATTATACAGTATAATACCCCGTATTCATTTTACTTCACAAACTGGGGATTGGTTTTGGTTCTGTAACCAGCCTGAGTATCATATAACTAACAAATTGATACAATCAATTGCTGATCTGACTTGCTGATGAGTGAAGTCCAACTTCATGGTCCTGATCTGGGGCTTCTAACAGAAAATAGGGTCTTACTAGAAATGAGCAGTGCTTCAGATGCTTACCACAAAATCCATTCTTTACCTGGAAAGTGGAACTGAATGCAGCGCTCTGGTTCTTACATGATCCTATACTGCTGTTTTCCAGAGCTATGCTTGAAGCTACTTCATCACCAGTTGTGTTTTGCCACAATGACTGTCAAGAAGGTAAGCTGCTACTATTTCATGACCTTGTTGTGTGATGCAGTATTAAGCCTTTTCTGGTCACTTGTTTGCTTTCTGAGAGGTAGTTGCATTGTCAAGGTGCCAGCCTCGCAGCTGGCCTGGAACAGCAGCCTGTGCACTCCCAGGGGGCCACAGTTGTAAAGTCAAGTGCATTGGCTTCAGCAGCCCTTCAGGCTAATTAACAGAACATCGATGTCATAACTGGATTAAGCCAAGTGTGTACACACGCTCTGTCAGTTCAGGTCAGCTGATGATGGGAGCCTTGGGTGTTTGCTGTTAAGACCAGGCCTGTCTTAGCTGCCTGCAGTATACATGGTCAGGGTAGGAGGTACTTTGGTCCTTGTGAAAGAAAGATACTGAAAAAGCACAGTGAATGGTGAAAATGGAGACTAGGGTAGTTTGACTTAGCAGTTCTCAGCTTGTACTGGTAAGAAGCTTTAGGAAAACCATATCTGCATTTTTTTAGTGCTCTGTCTGGGAGTCCTTGAGGGAAGAATAATTTTTCTGAGCCAGTTATCTAAAGAGATGGAAAAGAGGCAGGGCTGAAGGTGCTGGGTATGCTGTGTCTGTGCTCCCTGTCACATGTACAGTGGGTGGGCTGAGCTGGAAGGATGCTGCACCAGGACCGTACGCAGGGCTGCCTTGTTGTCAGGAGTGTCAGCCTTGTTAGCCAAGGCTGAGGAGTTGGCCGGGAGGAGGATTGCCCTGGAGGGATGGGCAGCACGAGGGGGGAAAAGCCACTGATCTGAGGTCAGCAGAGCTAGCTCAATAGTGGTGGAGCTCAGGGTCTCGTTGCTGGTGTGGCGAGGTGCAGTGCTGGAGCAGTTGGAGTGTGATAGGGCTGGGGCAAGCTTGGGAACCTAAATTTCCAAGGTGGGGGGAATACTGTGCTTGTTCTGTTGGTGCAAGAGTATGGCATAGAGAACAGATGCACCTGTGGAGAGGGGACAAACTATTGCGGAAATTGAAATCACTCCAGATTTATTTGCTAGTTGGCACTTGACAGAGGCAGACTTGATGCCTTTCAGATGAATTACAGTGACAGAGGGAATGGAAGGACAAATAAAGCCATCTCCTTTTTACAGAGCAAAAGGCTGAGCTTTTTTTCTAGGTACTGGTTGTGCCACGTTAGTAGAATAGCAAAGTGATCAGTCTGTGGCTCTTGAGCCGCTGAAAAGCGATTCCTGTCCCAAGTGTTGTGTGATCCAGGATGGTGCTACACGGGTATGAGAGAGGCTGCATCGTATAGGTCTCAAGTTTGGAAAGGAACGATTCCACAAGGGCTGCAAAGGCTGATGGTGTCACCTGAGTTGGCTGCAGGCTCACTGGGGAAGCAGGACCCTCTGTCTGTACAGAAGAAAACTTTCTTGCTTTCAGCTTTACAAGGTTTATGGGTTGTATCTCAACTTCCAGTGAGCTGCTGTACAGCCAGTGCAGCTTGGCTTTTCCTGTCATTCTTCTGCTCAGATATAAGGGGTAACTGGGATTACCTAAAGTGTTTCTTAAGGTACAGTGTTGCTTTTCTGTGACTTTCCTGTGACTATAGAATATACTGTATTATCTTAAATCTTTCAGGTAATGTCTTGCTTCTGGAAGGCAGAGAGAATTTGGAAAACCAAAAGCTGATGCTCATTGATTTTGAATACAGCAGCT